GGATCCTGCAGAAATAAAAGAAAATACTTTCTCTCGTTCTCTCATTTTGCCTAGGTGCCCTTTTGGGTTTTCATCCCAGCTTTCCACATTTTTCTGTTTTAATCCTCACAACTCACTCTTATTTTTGCTTTATTTTTGCTCAAGTTGCCCTTTCGGGTTTTCAACTTAACAAGCTTTTATAATTATATATATATATATATATATATATTACAAGAATAAAGGTATGAATATGAGTATTCCATAAAACTCTCCCCCCAAGCTAATCAAAGCACTGTCCCTAGTGCTTGTGTGTGAGATGATTTTTTTTTTCTTTATGGTTAGTTTTTTGGGAGGTTTTGTTGGTGATTCGTGGGTGTGGAGATGAAAAGGGTGAAGAGGTGATGAATGAAATGAGTTTAATTGATGGATGAATGTAGGAGATATGAAGCTTTTTACTTTTGGAAATGGAGAAAATTTGGGGTGTGGTTTGAATGAGAAGAAAAGAAAATAGGGAAGAGGTGAGCCCGAGCTGGTATAGGCCTGTTCCCCCGTTTGCCCGGTCGGGTGAGGTATTTTACCCGGTCGGGTGTAAGCTGTTCACCGGAGCCAGAGGTTTTCTGTTGGGTTGCCCGACCGGGTATGGGGGTCTACCCGGTCGGGTGTAAACTGTTCACTCGAGGCAGAAAGTGTTTGTCGGGTTGCCCGACCGGGTATGGGGGTCTACCCGGTCGGGTGTTTGATTTATTCTTGTTTCGCTCTTGCCTCGCCCGGGTGGTTGGCCGGATGTTTTGTTTTTAGAGGTAACCCGACCGGGTGGGGTTTTTATACCCGGCCGGGTTCAATCCCAGGTCATTTTTTTTTTGAAATGTGTAAAAATAAAATAAAACAAGTAAACGTACCTTGCATGGGTTGCCTCCCAAGAAGCGCCTTGTTTAACGTCACGGCACGACGCTATTTTCTCTACTTCAATCTTTCATGTTTGGGTCATGATGACCCGTCCTCTGCACATTTCTACCCCGGTGACTCTTATAGAAGAGCTCAATTCGCCGACCACCCATTTTGACAATCTTTCCAGGATCAAATATCCAGATTCCCATTGCTTTATGTTGTGAGAGCGAGGGAAAATTTGTACCGATTAGCATGGTCAATGGAAAGGGTTTTGATCTTGGTGGCATGAGAGGGGGTATCAAATGTTTACTTAACTCCACTGTCATTTCCCGCATGTTTGTGAATGAAAAGAAATCCAAATGATACTCTCTCGGTTTATTCGCAACCGCGACAAGTACATTTGAATTACCCTCGCATTCGTTGAGGATTTCGTCTCTGTCTTTCTCTACCCTTTGTGTTTCCCTTAGAGCCTCAGGAAATGATGGCATGATCTCAAGAATGGCCGGTGATGGAGTTGAGTTTTGAGGTTCTTCCTCCTCCGGTTGAGCTTTTTCTGCAGGCTCCACTTCTTCCTCCTCCTCGCGGATGTAGTTCACAACGCTTGGCATTTGCTTTATTTGATTCTCCAAGTTCGATTCGTTGGACACTGTTTCTTGCGGGCATTGTGACATAGCTCTTTGCATACTCGTCACGTTGATAGTGAGGGCTCGGACCATGTCTTCAGTGGACATGCTAGAATAAGAATTCACGTACATGTGATCTCCCCTCGGTACATTATGTGTGTCGGAGAACAGATCATATTTCCTTTGGGAACCAACATCATCAGCATGTTGAAAGTATTCTTCCTGGAGCTTCGGACAAAAATCCGTAATATGCCTGTGAGACATGCAAATACGAGAGAAGCCAAAACGGAAATTTGACTCTTTAAGGATGATGTGTTGATATCCATATACTCATGTAAGTTCAGAAAATAGATTTTTTTTTAATTTTTTTTTATATTTTTTTTTGTTTTGATTTTTATGAGATAAAATAAAAAGAAAAATAATTGCCTTTCCCCGGCAACGGCGCCAAATTTGACGAGCACTTTGTCACGGTGCATCAAAATAAATTCAATACTAAACACTTATACGTAGTATAGGTGAAGTAGAGTTCGTATCCACAGGGAAATGAATAATTCTCTTTTTTTGAAACTTAGTAAATAAAAGGGGGAATTTGGATTGAGTGATTTAATTTAATTAAAAACTAAGATGAACGACCTATATGAGATTTAATTCAAAGATAAAAAGGACTTGGCATTGCTACTTTCCACTTGTTGATATATTTTAGTCGATCATTGTTATATCTATAACTTATTCCCTCTCGAATATTCAATCGGGGAGTATATCCACTTCATCGAGGGTAGTTATTAACAACGACTGTTCATTAATAACCCTTACTATTAATCAAATATAGAACAACGCCTTATACCGATTTGATAGTAGCATTTAATCTTTCTAACTCCTTGATGAAATCAATTGAGATTGATAAACTCAACACAACGGTTTCGGTTTAACCAACAAAATTAATCCCTCTTAAATTTATTAACCACGACCGTGCATTAATAAACCGAAGTTACTTACTTGTGAAACCATTAACGATTAACCATCGATTCGTTGATCGTTTCTAGTAATAATTAATATGTGAAACAAAACTAGTTGATCCTTTAAGTAATGTTCAAAATATTAATATGAAATATGAGTAGGAATTAATTAATATTCAAGAAAGAATATTATTAAAGAAGATGAATCCTACTATAATTAATATCAAGTTGTTAACTAATTGTCATCTTAGCAACACTCCCCAACATTAATATAGAGGAAGAAAATATCATTCTAACTAATGTCGAGATGTTAACTAATTGTCATCTTAGCAACACTCCCCAACATTAATATAGATATGGTATTAAGGAAAGAACTATTAATTAATATTCAAGGGAAGAAGTTAAGAGAATAACTCACAACTTTAATAATCAACAAGCTTCAAGAGCGAAACCAAGAATTGGAAGTTTAGCTCCTCATTTGGAGACTAAACATAGCTAGAAAAATATAAAGAAATGCTATTCTAAATTGAGCTTAAGAGTATGAAAGAAGGGATGATTAAAAGTGAAGGAAAATGGGGCTATTTATAGGTGTTTTACAACACCTTTGGCCGGGTACCCGACCGGGTAAAGTGCCCACCTGACCGGGTGCATGTCAAAATCAAATATTCTCCACGTTCTGGTGATCTTCGGCATGTTAAAGTGTCCCGGGTCAAGTCAGACACGACCGGGTGGGGTAGGGGACCCGACCGGGTGAGTGCACTTTCCAGGTATTTTCGGTTGTTGAATCAGACCCGACCGGGTGAAGTCTTCTACCCGGTCGGGTATTTGCTCCTGGATAGTAAAACCTCCTTTTTCTTCACTTCTAAGTCATCCTTTTCAACAACATAATTCCTAATTCTACTTTACAACTTACAAATGAAGATTAAAATACAATTACAACTAAAATCACACAAATGTTTAGAAACTAAATAAAACGATAAACAATACACATCAATCAAACATAAAAATATACATTTATGCACTACTAATTAGTGCATATCATATATATATATATATATATATATATATATATATATATATAGAATAAGGATCAAATGAGAAGAGTGCTTATCGTAAGAAGTGAGAATGCATCTGGTGCGTTCAATTTAAGATCTGTGCATCAGATTAGCAAAAAAGTGCACGGGAAAGTGCAAAAAATATTTAAAAAGTGATGCTAGACGCGGTGGCATTTCCGTAATTAACCGGAACTTTTCTGCCATCGTAAAAAGTGTATTAGATTAGCAAAAAAGTGCATCAGAAATAGGTAAATGTGTAACTTCTCACTTCTCACGTTAAGATGTCTTCTCATTAGAACCCGACCCTATATATATATATATATATATATATATATATATATATATATATATATATATATATATATATATATATATATATATTATATATATATAGGGAGCGGTTCCGGTAAGAACGGATCTTAGGAGAGAAATGAGAACGAATCTGGACCGTTGAATTGGATTATGTGGAACTAAATTGTGCATTTGATGAAACTGAAATGTGTATCACATGATACTGAAATGTGCGGAATAAAATGTATAAAAATAACATGACATCGTAACTTTTATTCTGCACATTTCAGTTTCACCTAGTGCACATTTCAATTTCACCTAATGCACAATTTAGCTTCACTTAATGACATTGTATCATACGCTTTGTGTTGCACATTTCAATTTCACCTAATGCACATTACAATTTAATCTAATGCACATTGAATTTCACTTAAAGCAAATCTAACGGTCCAGATTCGTTCTCATTTCTCTCCTAAGATCATGTTCTTATTTGAACCAAAACCTATATATATAAAAACATAATTCAGAATAATCTTCATTATTCTGAATTTCACTAAAATGTGCAGAATAAAAGGTACGATGTGATGTTGTTTTTGTACCTTTTATTATGCACATTTCAGTTTCACCTAATGCACATGTGAGTTTAAATTTTAATTGTGCACATTTTAATATCATCTAATGCACATTTCGGTTTCACCAAATGCACAATTCAGTTCCACATAATCCAATCCAACGGTCCAGATTCGTTCTCATTTCTCTCTTAAGATCCGTTCTTACCAGAACCGCTCCCTATATATATGTGTATATATATATATATATATATATATATGATGTGGTTCCAATGAGAATGATGCTTAACGTGAGAACGTGAGAACACTCGAATTTAACCCAATGTGATACACAATAGAGCCCGTCTGATGCACATTTTGACTTTGCTCCAAACAAGTCAATATAAATAATAACGGTGACATTTTGGTAAATAATATGAATATTATGCTGAACGTGAAAAAGTGCGTAAGGTTAGCCTCATTGTGCATCATATCGGAGTAAATGTGGTGTTCTCACGTTCTCACGTTAAGCCTTGTTCTCATTTGATCTTTAATCTCTCTCTCTCTCTCTCTCTCTCTCTCTCTCTATATATATATATATATATATATATATATATATATATATATATATATATATATATATATATATATATATATATAGGGAGCGGTTCCGGTAAGAACGGATCTTAGGAGAGAAATGAGAACGAATCTGGACCGTTGGATTGGATTATGTGTGTTGGAGGTATTGGTCCTACCAAGGCCTCCTTTCCACTTTATTTGCTGAGGCTTGCACCCTATTGTTTTACTCCCACTTTGTTACCTTTTTCTTTGGTATATATCCTGATCAAATATTACCTATATTTTGAGTGGTTGACTTAATCTCTTGGCTGGCCCCTTCTCTGCCTCCTGTCCGCTGCACTCATTGCCTGGCAGCCTGTGAGCCTTTTTGTCTTGGCTCTCACCCGTGACTTCCTTCTGGCCGTTGCTATTATTTAGAGGCCTTGGCCTCTTCCTGTGTTAGTAGCCTGCGTAGAAAAATCCCTGAGAGCAGAGCTCCCTTCTTCTTCCTTTGTGTGAGAGAGTAGAAAGGTCTTAGTGGAGAGTTGAGAGTGGATGCTATAGCCTCCTCCTAGTGTGGTGTATGTGATTATAGTGGAATAGACCTGAGCCGGAGACGGATAAGATCCTAACAATTTCCGCCTGAAGAGCAATTTCCATCAGAGAAGGAAATCTGCCGCCCCGCCGTTGCCATCTGCAGCCGTCTGAGAGTTGCGCCGGAGTCAGCCACAACTGTCGGAGTCGACGTTGCTGGAACTGCTCGTCCGACGAAACCTTGTTCGTAGAAGCCCTGAAGCCGGCAAGGACGAAGAATATTTCTTTGCAGAAGCCCTGAAGCCGACAAAACCCTGTTCGCAGAAGCTGTTGGGCTGAACCAAGTTGTTGGGCCTGAACATTGCTGGGTTGCTGAACTGGACTGGGTCTGCTGGAGCTGCTGGTCTACTGGAGAAGCTGGACTGCTGCTGGACCTGTGCTGTTGGGCCGCTGGACTGACCTGCTGGACTGCTGGAGTTGCTGGAGCAGCCGGTCAACGCCGGTCAACGCCGGTCAACGCCGGTCATCAGTCAGAAAAATCCCAATTTTTTAAAATTGGGTAGGTAAGGTCGAAACCCTCTCCTAGGGTTTCGCTAAGGTAAATTGGCTATAAACACCCTAGGTGCACCGGGTGCCTCCGGATATAATTTTATTCCCCCTCCCCGCGGGCCGCCGGTAGATTGTATCCCGGTCGCCAACCCCCCAGGTGCGTTTGCTAAACCCTCTCCTTTGTGGCAGATTGTTTAGTTGTTTAACTTGAATTGCTAAGTGTTACTTAATTCATTTGTTATGCGTAGGGGTGGTTTATTGAGTATTAGGGGTAGAATTAATTAATTTTAATTGCTGCCCGGAGTTGTTTTATGTGCCAAACTGTCCATATTTGCTATTTGTTGCAAGCTGCCCGGGGTTATTAAAGTGTATACTTTATAGCCCGGGTTGGATTATTTTCTGTCAAATTTGTCTGTTTAGCTTTGTGTTGTTTTGTGGTTGATACCATGGCTGCTAATCAGTATGGTATGCTTCCATTTAATGGAAAGACAGATTTTGATATTTGAAAACAGAAAATTAAGTGTGTTTTAATACAACAAAAAGTTTTCAGAGCTGTCACTGGTATTTTCCTTGAATCAGAAGATAAGGCTAAGCAAATTGAAATGAATGAAACTGCTTGTTCTACTACTTACTTGAATCTGTCTGATTCTGTGCTTAGGAAAGTGGGTATTCTTGAGTCCGCTAAGGAATTGTGGGAGAAATTGGATAGTCTCTATACTGATACCTCTTTGTCCGGAAAGTTGTTTTTACTTGAGAAATTCTTTAGGTTTAGGCTTGACCTGACTAAGGATATAGATGAGAACCTGGATGTGTTTAATAAACTGATACAAAATATCAAACAGGCAGGTGATAAACACATAGACGATTATACTCCCATAGTATTACTTAATGCCATTCCCGACTCTTATAATGATGTTAAGTCCGCTATTAAGTATGGTAGGGATGAGATTTCGTTAGATATTGTTGTTAATGGGTTAAGGAGTAAGGAATTAGACCTAAAGCATGCTAGGGGTAGTGCTAGTCAGTCCAGGGACTCCGGTGAGGCTATGTTTGTTAGAGGTAGATCTAAGGGTAGGTCTAAGAACTCTAAGCAAAATAGTCAAAGTAAGAACACTAGTCAGCCTGGGAGAAAGAGGAGCAAATCTAGGAAGAGAGTGTGTTACAATTGTGGTAACGCTGACCATTTCATTAAGGATTGCCCTAAACCTAAGAAGACCGAGCATGCTAGTGTAGCTGTTGATAAATGTGACCTTGGTGATATTTTGATGGTTTGTGACCATGTTAATTCTGTGCGTAATTCCCTGTCTGATCATGAATGGTTGATTGACTCTGGTTGTACCTATCACATGTCCCCCTTTAGAGATTTGTTTTCTACATATGAATTATGTGATAGTGGCTATGTTTCCTTAGCTGATAATAAGAGATGCAATGTGCTTGGTGTTGGTGATATATGTCTGAAGTTTTCTTGTGGCTCTGTGTTTACCATTAAGAATGTGAGGCATGTCCCTGATTTATGTCATAACTTGTTATCTGTTGCTGCTTTGGAGAGTAGTGGTTTACAGGGAAAGTGGGGAAATGGTTGCATGAAAATCTTGAAAAATTCTCTTGTGTTGTTTAAAGCTGAGAAGGTGAATAACCTTTATGCGTGTCATGCTAAACCTTTTACTGAGTCTGTGAATGTTGTATGTTCTGATAAGACCTCTTTGTGGCATAATAGGCTAGGACATATGAGCAATAAGGGTTTAGATGTCATGCGTAGGGCTGGTTATTTTGGTAAGGACTCTGTGACTTCTGTGCCTTTCTGTGAATCATGTGTGTTAGGCAAGCAACATAGAGTCAGCTTCCCTCCTTCCTCTTACCCTAATCTGTCTAAGTGTTCGTCTGTGCTTGAATATGTTCATGCCGATGTTTGGGGTCCTGCCAGTGTTCCTACCCACGGGGGTAGGAAATATTTCCTTTCTATTATTGATGATTTCTCTAGGAAGGTGTGGGTTTGCTTTTTAGAACACAAGTCTGATGTGTTTGTGAAGTTTAGGGAGTGGAAAACCCTAGTTGAAAACCAAACTGGCAGGAAGGTTAAAACCCTTAGGACCGATAACGGGTTAGAGTTCTGTAATAAGGAGATGGATAAGCTGTGTGTGGATTGCCCCTTCTCTGCCTCCTGTCCGCTGCACTCATTGCCTGGCAGCCTGTGAGCCTTTTTGTCTTGGCTCTCACCCGTGACTTCCTTCTGGCCGTTGCTATTATTTAGAGGCCTTGGCCTCTTCCTGTGTTAGTAGCCTGCGTAGAAAAATCCCTGAGAGCAGAGCTCCCTTCTTCTTCCTTTGTGTGAGAGAGTAGAAAGGTCTTAGTGGAGAGTTGAGAGTGGATGCTATAGCGTCCTCCTAGTGTGGTGTATGTGATTATAGTGGAATAGACCTGAGCCGGAGACGGATAAGATCCTAACAATGTGGAACTGAATTGTGCATTTGGTGAAACCGAAATGTGCATTAGATGATATTAAAATGTGCACAATTAAAATTTAAACTCACATGTGCATTAGGTGAAACTGAAATGTGCATAATAAAAGGTACAAAAATAACATCACATCGTACCTTTTATTCTGCACATTTTAGTTTCATCTAGTGCACATTTCAAAATCACCTAATGCGCAATTTAGCTTCACATAATACTACTACATTGTAGCATTTGTGCTGCACATTTCAATTTCACCTAATACACATTACAGCTTCATCTAATGCACATTGAATTTCACATAAAGCAAATATAACGGTCTAGATTTATATATATAAGATATGAGTGTCACAAATACAGACTTTTTCGAAGGAGCGAGACTCTCTATCTTCTCTCTAGCCTTCGACATTTTTCTCAATCGGACAGCCTGAAGCATGTGCTGCAGAAATGCCACCGGCGGAAGGAACAGTCCCGATGACCTCACAGGTGAAGCTCTCTTATGCTGCGGTGGTAAGGGACTAAGGGATCCTACCCCAGGCCATCGTTTGCACTCTCAGTCACGTTCGCTTACCAACGTGGCTGACCTGGGATCGTCCGGTAGCGTGAGCGGTTTTCCGTCTGTGTCATTTTCTGAAGACGACTTACAGGTTTTATCTCTTCCTTTCTGATTCGCACTGGTCGGTACTTTTCCTTAGGGTCGCCCCCCATCCCTGCGATTCGAATGGATTTTGAAAAGTTTGGGTTTTCACAGGCTTATTCGGTTGGTTTGCTTCCCTCCAATATTGTTTTGATTAATTTCAAACGTGATCTTGATTTTCAAAAAATTTGGGAGAAGAAATCCTGGGATTTCATTGGATTTGAGATTGTGATGACCGACACCGAGTTTCTCTGTCGAACGAGACTCACCCCTGGCCCCTATCTGGATCTCCCTTGAAGGACTCCCTGTACACCTACATGATTTACGAGCCCTCAGATCAATTGCTAAGCTTTTGGGAAAGCCTATCACCATTGACATCCCTACTGCAAACTTCTCCGGACCATCCACAACCAGGATTTGTATTGAAATGGATCTCTTTTGAACTGCCTCCAAAAATATGGAATGCCGTCGGTTTGGCCATACTGATTCTGAATACCCTCTATCAACTGATTGTTTAATGTCAAAGAAACAAACCCCTACTGTTGGCAGTATCACCGAAGTTCCCAAGCCCCCTGTTATTAAGCCTAAACTTCCACTGGCTGCTGGGGAACCGAGTACCTCTTCTTTGGATAATGTCGAAACTGATTTTACAGTTTACAGCCCACTGCAAAAGGCCCTTTTCATGATGGAATTGAGCCCTTGTTTTAATTGTGAATGTTAATGATGAAGTTGCGATTGTTGCCCCTGTTATTGCTAAATCTTTAGTGGTGCACGCATCCCCTGATGCTGAGGACCTTATTCATGCTGCAGCTTTTGTCAAACTTGCTACTAATGAGGAATCTAGTCCTATGATGTTGGTAACAGACCTTACTGACGCCCCTAGTGATGCTACTGTTTCTATCCAACGACATATGAGTGCAAACCAAGGCACAGCAGCACCGAATGCTGCTAATATGGAATTTGTCCCTACTGTAATTTGTGATGCTCATGCTAATCCCTTTGTTTCACAAGAAGCTATAAAGGCCCTCGTTGTAGCTCCTTTTATTGAAACTGCTGTTAAGCCAGGTTTTCCGGTTGTCTCAGATCACATAGAAGCTGCTGGTTCCGTGTTGACTGCAGTTTACAATGCTGCCCAAATGGAAGTGGACCTTGATAAGGATGAACCCCATGTGGCTACCTGTACTGTGGCGGTAACTGTGGGTGTTCATCAATCTGTTACCGATGTTTCCTTTGAGGACCGAACAGGAAATGATGAGACCGTCTCTGATCCTACACTTGAGAATACAGTTACTACGCTTGCATCATAACTGTCCGGTGATGGAACTTTCTCTGAGGACTGTCAATCACTAACCCTTTTAGTTTCAAGTCATCAAACAGCTGAAGAGGAAGTCATTGACGGATTTACCCAAGTCAAACAACGAAATAGCAGAAACACAATCTCAAAACACCTCCAATTGAAGTCAAAGAGGATGAACAACAATACTACCAAGCGGGGTATATATACTTCACATCCAATGATCACCAGAAGCCGCTCAAAAAAACCCTAGGACGACGCATATTTCTTTCTTTACCCGCTCGACGCGAGGTTTGACTCCCCCATAAACTTGCAAATGCTCTGAGGCGTTATAAAATGTATCATCCAGAGAGAACTTTCTATCAGCCCTATCTTCAGAAGGCCATCAAGTTCCATAATAGATATAATAGATCAATCTCGGCGGCACTTGGAATTCCTACAAAAAATTTCAACTGTTGATGTAATTTTATTTTCCTTTTCCCTTATTTCTTTTGTGCTTTCAAATTCCATCGCATGTACCCTTAAGTCTATTTTAATAAATTAGGGAGGTGTTCCCCGGCAAAAAAAAAACTAGTAAAAAAACACACACATATATATATAACTAAGCAGTTAGGAGGGTGTAGTAGAATTCTAATTATTCTTACATCATGTCTAAGGTATCCTATTTGAACTGGTCTTAGCAGTTTATGATGTAAGGAATAATATACTCCCTCCGTCTCATAAATAGTTTTCACTAGGATTTGGATCGGAGTTTAAGAAAGTGAGAATAAAGTAGAAATGTATGGTTGTGGTTGAGTAAGAAAAAAGTAAATGAATGGTAGCCACACAAAACTTTCCAAAAGGGGAAATGAGAACTATTTTTTGGAACGACCCAAAAATGCAAGTTGCATCATGTTTAAGGTATAGTTATCCTATTTGAACTGCTCCTAACCGTTTATGATGCAAGGAACATATCATTTTGGAATTTACATTTAAATTTAGTGCATATTTGTGTTTTAGAAGTCTCAAGTTAAATTTAATGTTACAAAATTCCTTTTATACGAATCATATTAAAAAACCAGCAACTTTGCATGTGGGAATATTGCAGTAAAATAAAAATTATAAAAAATACAATAATATACCTCATTTGAATTAATTACCGACCAAAGCTTGTAGAAGGTCGACATTAACACCGACGTGCTATACCGACGGCAGAGCATTTTACCTACGGATATGTGATGGGTTGTTTTGATACATTTGTCTACGGATATACGGAGTATCTACTTTTCCTATGGAAATCCGATGGTACTTTACTTACGGAATATATTATTCGTCGCTAATCCTACGAGCATATTCCCAATGACACAAATCCGACGGTATAAGATTTTTCTTCTTCCAATTTCAATACTTCTGTAGTTCTGTCGGTAATTTTCCTAGTAAAAGATTAAAACTGAATCAAATGTACATTAATACACATAAAGAACTAACTAAGTGAAGTGAGAAGAAAGTTGATTTACAGTAAACCTCAAGAGCTAAAATTAGACATTGCCAAATTGGAATTAAGTGCATAATACTCCGTATGAAATAGGCTTGGATTCGGTTCGGGCCACCCGGTCAGGCCCGCTACTGTGTGGGCCCGGGACCGGCCCGGTCTGGCGGTCCGGGACCGGGTGGAGACCCGAACTGGGGGGGGGGGGGGGGGGGGGGGGGCTCGATTCAGGCAAAGGGCGACCCGGCCCGGGTCGGGTCCAACGGTCAAATGCTCAAAAATTTAAAAAAAATGGGTTTGGGCCACAACTAGCCGTTGGAGGGTGGGCTGGAGGGGGGGGGGTGGGGTGTAACACCCCCAAATTTCCCACCCAAAACGTTGATATAATTGAAATAAAACTTTTATTTATTGATAATGAAAATCTAAAGAAAGTACAGCGGAAGTCTTAGTAAGGGAAATGGGTGTTACCGCCACATCCGGTCATCTCTCAACCGGATGCACAGGCAACTAAAAACATGACAACTAATTTAATAAAAGTAAAGTGTTTGAAAAGTAAATGTTTATTTCATGACTAGTATAACTAAGGCGACTTCTAACTCGCTCTCGGCCGTGCAAGCAATCATCACTCGACAACATCATCCTCACCTGAACAAATAAAGTGCAGAAACAAAACAAGGAAAAGAAAACAAAAATTAGCTTTAGAGCTAAGTAAGTACTACCCAACCCCGTAAAATAATCATGTTTGACAAAAATAGAATTTTTATATAATAATATATAAAAATACTCACACCATCGAAATTCTTTTCACTTTGATTTTTCTCAAGACTACTTCTTTACAAAAATCCTCAACTTCTCTATAAAACTTCATAATAACTCTTCTCTTTGATTTCCTCAAAAATCACTTCTTCTCTAACTTCCTAGTAATTTAGAAGGGCGGTGCTCAACCTTTCGGTAGAGCCCGGTGGACCGTGGTTACGGACGGCCACCCCGAACAAGTGCCGGTACCACAACTGCTCTGTTGGAAACGAAACGACTACCTTAAGTGTACACACCCCCTAAAAGGGATTCCAAGCCCCCCGAGTAGTAAGTCGTAACGAGTAGTCGGGACTCAGTCTACCAACTACCCCTGAATAAGATATTTTGAATGACTAGGGACTACTACTACCATAACTTCTTCTTAAAAGGGATCATCGATCCAAATATCACTTTAAACTCAAACTGTACTTCTTAGTAGTAGCAGACCTAATCACCCTCCACATTTATCCGGACGTGGAAAACCGACACCACGGATTTCTCCCGTGATGCTCACCTCTTATAAAAATGTAAATTTTATCTTCAATAAATAATACTTCAAAAATACTTCTCAATTTCTCTAAAAAGTCTTGAAGGTATTTAAAAATATTAAATACCCCAAAAGTACTTAATTTATATTTCTCAACTACCATATATATAATATCTCTTCAAAAATCACATACACAAAATTCAACAATTCACACTTATTCACATAATGCATAATAAGCATATAATACGAGGAAACAATTTTAGATTGACAGAGAAACTTACCTCAATTGCTAGTGCTTAAAAGCTCCTATCTCGGTCTTCACCAAATTCACGTTCTAAGAATATTAAAAATTCTAAGATTAATAATTTATTTATAAATTGAGATTATTTAGCCCACCTTGATTTAACCCATTTAAAGTTATCTCGTCATGCCAGTTGAAACTATTTTACCAAATTCTCCTACTCCCTTATAAATTATTTAATCAGCCCTCATCATAAACAAAACAGCCGAACGTTTATTTAAAACCAAAACCATCCCAGCCCCAAGTTTTAATGTCCTATACATGTTTCGTCTACGTAATGAAAGAACACATGAAGAATATACGTACTGTTTTTCTCTAACTTCGATGCCGACAAATCGCATGGGCTGCAGTCTTTCCTCCATGGCCACGGAAACAGCAGGTCATACTGCAGTGGTGTGGCGAACCAGCGACGCGGCCAGCGGCGACACAGAACAACGCAGATCACTTCTCTCCCGGAAGCTCTCACCAATGGCTTCTGTCTCCGGCGTGGGTATCCCAGGAGTGCGCTGGTAACACTGTCACCTGCAGTCGGACCCGAGTTTCAGTGTCCCGGCGAGTTAACCAGCGGCAGTCCTGATTCTATCACTAGCGATGACGCGTCAGCCACACACTTCTCCGGCGTCGCAGACGATTCTGCAACAGTACTCCGACATGGGTTCAGTCCGGCGAGCCCTTACCTTCTCCGGCGGCCGACGGCGCTCCCCCTCTCCCCTGCTCTCTCTCACTTTCTTTCTTTCTCGGTTTTATTTCACGGCGGACGTGTGTATATGGGAGTACAGTTTGGTGCTGCGAAGGTCTTCGGTGGTTCGGCTATTTATATAGCGGCCCCAAGCCCCCAAGAGCTCCACTCGTCCGTTTCTAACGTATATGATTATTATACTCCGTATTACATGCAGCAGTTCAACATAACACTTACTCCCCGTTATATATGTTATGTCTACTCCGTATTCCATATATACTACGTAGGTATGCGTTAAGATCTTAGACAATTATTACTTATTACTATATATTACTATATTACTATATTACGGAGTATCTATTTATATTACTATAATAGGTTAGCAGGTCAATAGAAGTGTATTGTAAAAATAAAATATAGCTTTTACTTCTTATGTCATATGTATAATTGGTACTTGATATAAAATATTACTTCTTTTATCGGGCCATTTTTATCTGACTAAAAATGTCACAATTGTTAATTTTCTGTCTGGTTCACTTGTTTCATAAAATGTTGTTCCTATTATTGAAATATTTTTATCTGACTAAGACGTCATAAATTTTGAAATTTTTATCTGATTAGAATGTTACAACTGTTGAATTTTTGTCTGACTCAATTAATAATTAAAATGTCACTTCCGTGATATTTTATCTGACTAATAAAAATTATTTTTATTTTTATTTAAGCTTTTGGGGTGTCACGGGGGGGTCTAGGCGGTCTGGGCGGTGGGGGTGGGGTAAAAAAACTATAAATACTCCTAATCTTAAACATTTTTCCATATCTCTTCTCCAAAATCCTACTCTCTTATTATCTTCATCTTCTCAAATTCTCTTATTCTCCAATATATTATATATCTACTTATATTATTTATCTTCTTAGAAATACATATATTATAATTTATATTACTTATATTTCTTATATACTTATATAGTTATATATTAATTATCTATTTATAAATACATATATTATATTGCTTATATTTGTTATATACTTAATCTCTACTTATTATCTACTTATATCTACTAAATACATACATATTATAATTTATATCTACTTAGTTAGAATTGTTTGACTTTTATTTCATTAAAGTTAGAATTGTTAGAATTTTATTTCATTAGTTCGAATTGTTTTTATAAATTAATATTTGTTATATTTTTAAGATGGAAGGTGGTAGATATTCGGTTGATGTGCATGTCATGTGAATTGTGTGGTTCTACTTCTTTGATGAGTAGATTTTTTCATCAACGATGTGCATGTCATGTTATTAATTTATGTATGCAAGATGGTCTAAAAGCATTAGGAGCATCTTTGGAGGTAGTCAAGGGGGAGATTAGACGTATTTGGGGTAATGGTCAACTTAGAAAAAATGACATGATTATTTGATTGAAAGAGGTGAAAAATATGTGGCTTTTTCTAAAGATTTGTCTATTCGTTGGAGTAGTACTTATAAGTTAATTGCAGTTCTTCTTAGATATAAACAACATTTTCCTGCTTTTATGAAACAATATGATAACTACTCCCTCCGTCCCACAATGAACTTCACAGTTTGACCTACACACATATTAAGGAAATAAACTTACCATGGGGTAAGTTTTACTGTTTTGACACTGTTCCGACACTGTTTGGCACTGTTTTGACACTGTTTTGCACTGTTTGACATTGTTTTGATGTAGATTAACTTGCCATTTAAGGAAATGAGAACTTGTTTCTGGGACATCCAAAAAAGGAAAGTGGGAAGTTCATTGCGGGACGGATGGAGTATATTATAAACTCGGCTGAGATCGACACCTGCAAAAAAATTTGTAATGCTTTGGTATATTTTAATAATGCAACTGAAACATTTAGTCATGTTTATAAACCTACCTCAAATCAATTTATTCGTGAAGCTGTTAATCTCGCTGGTGCCTTTTCAAATTTTGAGAATGCCGATTATGTGAGTTATTTTGCTGGTTTTATGAAGGAAAAGGTTTTAAAATATTATTCACATATTCCGCATATTTATGGTATTGCATTTGTTCTCGATCCTCGTTTTAGACTTGGTTCTTTAGAAGAATGTTTGAATTATTATGACGCTGCTTTTTTTGGTCCAATACCAATGTATGATGACAACCCAATTGATCCGAAAAAAGAATACAACGAGATTAGTGATATATTTTATGCATTATTTAAAGAGTTTCATGCACAATATGGCAACGCGCCCCTCCCTCGACACAAACCTCTTCATCTAAAGGAAAATCAATTTTGAAATTTACATTTGCCAATCTTATTAAAAAAACTAAAACAACACCCGCTACTCAACAAAGCAAATTAATGAGATTTCTTTGTATTTAACATATGATGTTGATTTTGAAGATGATGATGACTTTGACGTTCTAAACTGGTGGAAGGGAAAAGAAAGAATGTTCCCGGTTTTAGCAAAGATGGCTAAGCAAGTGCTATCAATGCCGGTTTCAACAGTTACCATCGAACAAGAATTTAGTTCGGCCGACAATGTCCTAACGCAATGTAGAACGAGGTTAAGCGCAGAATCTCTTGAGATGCTTATATGCTACCACGATTGGTTGAAGGCGACCCGTAGAGCTCAAGAAATTGACATCACCCCATCCCAACACTTTATGGATGAATCTACAACCGAGGGTGGCTCTACCTATTACGGAGATTCCGATTGATTAGTATTTCACTATTTCATGTTTTATCTTTACCTTAAATTGTAACTTGTAAACTTGTAGTTCATGTTTCAAATAAATATACGTTCATCTTTTTATATGTAGCATTTTTTACTGAATTCATAAAATTAATTAATTAATTTTACATTATGTAATTTATGCAAACTAAAATAAACAAAAAATAAATAAATCAAAGGCCCCAAACGGCTATATAGTCGTTGGGACTTGTTTGAAATTTGAATCAATAGAGCCGTTGGGGGTGGGGGTGGGGTGGGTGGTGGGGGTACAAAAAATTCTATAAATACTCCTATTTTCTAACATTTTTATACACATCTTCTCTAGTCTCCATATTTTCTAATATTTTTATACACATTTTTATAAAACTATAAAGTATAAATGATAAAAAAATGTATTTAACCGGCCCGGCAGGTGGCCCGACCTGTGACCGGGGCGGATGGCCCGGTCCGAACCGGAACCACCTTTACCTCGGGTCGGTCCCGGACCCATCATTCACAAACCGGCGACCCAACCGGGCCTAGACCCGGCCCGAATCCATGCCTAATATGAAATAAGAAAAACAGAAATTATATGATCGAGACTTTTGCAGAAGACAGAAAAATAAACAAATTCATAAATTATTTGATTTAAAGGGAAATTTACAATCTTTTTGAGACAAAAAAAGAAAGTTAACCAAGTCTTATTGAACAAAAGGAGTATATCGTTTTAGCATTTATATGGATCATGGTAATCTACTATATTGTCTCAAAATTGCATAAAATATATTTTGGAAAATCATACTTAACTCTGCACCTACTTTTCCAAAATAAGTTGAAAAGTAGACTTATCTATTACACTTGGCTGTTTAGGTATCTGTTTTGTGCAATTATGCTTAGTTGAATACTAGTTTAAACGTTATTGAATTATATATAGGAATATATCAGTTTTTTTAAATGGGGTCAGTAAAAGGCTAAAGTGATTAACCATTGATTATACTATGTTTAAAATGATTTTAAAAAAATATAACCAGCGTAGTTATATCTTTTGGACAGATCCGCCCCACAGGGGTAAATACTATAATTACCTTAAACTCAACCAAAGTTCTTCCCAACACATTTAAATGTTTTTACTTGAACTAAAATTTTCTGATCTGAATTGGTCTGATAAATGTCTGGTCTCTGTATAGTTTATAATTGTCCAAGTCTGGTCTGGTTTGGTCTGATCTGGTCTAGTTCGGTTTTGGACGGAAAACAGTCCAAGTAAAAACATCTTAAAATACTCACCTATTAAATGCAGTTTATTTTAGTAGGAGCAAACAATTCTCATAACTAGAACTTGTTATTGTATGACTTTTAGATGTTCCTACTCTACAAGCATTCGTGCATTTGTCCTAGTGTCTTTTTAACTTTCTTACCTACAGTACGTATAATACAAGCATCTTTATCTCCAACATTAAAATTGACCATTAGCCTACCAATGAAAATATCTAGATATTCTTAGAAGGTGTCATTGTTATTTTATAAAACTGGGTTAGTGTATAGAAATATGAAAGCACAGATCAGATATGCCCATTGTCAAAGAGAATCACACATTGTAAAGGTGTGGATTTGTTAAATGGGATGTCACTTTTAATAGTGCAGAATAATTTTATTATTTATTAATCAGGAGGCATATGTATTACGAAACTTATTTCATTATAAATATTTTGTCAGGGCTACCAGATTGGTTAGCCATTTTCTTATTCCTACATGGTATCAATAGCCTAGATTTTCGGACCTAACTTTTTCCGCTCCTATGGTCTCTTCTACCGCCACCGTTGCTACCTCGGTTGCTCCTTCAACCATGGATGCGTCGACGGTAACCTCCACTCTGTCGACCACTGCGTCGATGGTCCCAGTGAGTTTGACGACAACTTTGTCCTCTGTCGCCGCTTCTTATGTGATGCAGCCTCCTCTTTTCTCCTTGTTCCCTCCACCACCACCACCATGAAATGTTGGCATGATTCCTCCGGTCTTCAACTGATCATCTCTGGATATATTTTCCAGAACCTTGCCGCCGGACCCGTTTGTTGTCGCACCCAAACTGTCTCGCCCTCAATTCATTGGTCCGACGTATGTGGGATCTTCTGGTCTCTCACCGCATACGACATTGCGCCCTATTGAAACTTTGATAGTCATCCTTCCGCTCAGCCTCCATTTGGTTCTTCGGTCAGTCCATGAGTTTCTCTGCTTCAAATATTACAAACATAGTAGCCATAAAGCTTGATGCGGTTGAAGATTACCTACCTTGGAAAACTCAGTTCGAATCTTTTTCTGGTTTCCCATGGTCTGCTTGGCATCCTAGATGGTACGATTTTTACTCCTCTACATACTGTTGATGTTCTTGGCTATTTGCCACTTTATCCCGTGATGTATTGTTGAAGTTCATGAATAGAAAAATTTTGTAGCCATCTGGGAACGTCGGCAATCCCGTTTCATTTCTACTAGTCTGGCACGGTCCATGGAATTAAAACGATTTCTGTCTAATTCTAAAAAGAAAGATACTCATTCCATTAGATCATTGTTGATGTTTTGACGACTACTCTTCTCTTCGTGAAAGATATATTTGAGTACACACTATTGGGTCTTGATCTTGACTATGAGTCCCTTATTACCACATAGTTTTCGAACCAAGTTGGTTCAATAGGAACAAATGTTACTTTATCTCCATTCTCAGGTGTTGAGATTAGTAATCCTAATTCTCTAATTATTTCCTAGTTTTACAATTTTAGATAGGACGGCAAAGCAATCAATTTTTGTTTTATGCTATTGGGTTGGGCCTAAAGCTGTTATGTTCTCTTCCCTCTTTTATGTCTTGGGCAATTTTTTATTAGTTGGGCCTTTTGGTAAATGGAATGACTGGTTTTATACTGAGGGGACCATAAGTATATATACCACTTCCGTCTCCAGAGCCTTCGACTAATTCATTCAGAACTATTTTTGTTAAAACCCTAGATAGAGAGAGAGAGAGCCTGTTCTAGAGAGAGTTAGTGCTGTTTCCGCTGCTAGTTTTCTGCGCGAGAGCCAGAAGCTTTGCAAGGACGGTAATAGAAAGAGGAGATTGCCTGAAATCTGAGGAACAGGAGGAGAGCTTGATACGTGATCCAGAACTGGGAGCACGACAGTCATCTTCCGAAGCCTTAGGGTTTCGTTCGGTTATCTCTGAACCTTTTTCTGTTATTTGTTTCTTAAGTGATATCCCTGACCGATTGCATGTTCTGTATATTGATTGCTTTGCAACCATCTTGATTGTAATCTGTCTGAATTCTGAGCTAGTGGAATATTTGGGACCGGGTTTCCCCTGTTGAAACCCCGCAGATTAGGAAGGTTTCCTTGCGAACTGCGTCAACATATCGTGTGTCTTTTACTTTTCTTGTTGTTTTGATTGCATGTGTTAAGTTTAAGATCCGATCTGTTTGACTGTTGACTTTGATTAGTCTGCGAACAAATTGGTATCAGAGCTTTGTGTGTTCTTGAAACCCTAATTGCTATCTTTGTTTGAATCTTAGATTTCTTGAAACCCTAGTTCTTGGTCTGTGATTAAATCTGAACCAGTATCCGCTAACTTACTATTGACTGCAGTACTTGCATTTGTTGTCTTTGCCTTTCTTCTTCATCTGGTTGAATTATCTATTTTTTGATAATCTGTCTGTTCTTGAGTAACATATTGGGAATTAAAATGTTTGAGTCTGGTGTCAAAATCCGAATGTTTGATGGCACCAATGATTTCCCAATGTGGCAACTTAAGATGAACGCTCTGTTAATGAAGCAGAAATGCTTCAAAGCTATTACTCATGACCCTATACCTGGCTTATCTGAATCTGATCAACTTGAATTGAAAAATGCTGCTTATTCTGAGTTGATTATACACTTGTCTGACAATGTGGCTAGAAAGTTTTCTAGTATAACAGAACCTAAGATTCTGTGGGAAACTCTTGAATCAACTTACATGAAGAAAACCATGTCTAGGAATATATCCTTATTATGTAGGTTGTTCACTTTTAAAATGAATGTGTCTGTTTCTTTGCAAGATAATTTAGACAATTTGTTTAAGATGACACAGGAAATTGAGAAAGTAGATGAAAAAATTAAGGACACCCATCAAGCTGTGATTCTCTTAAACTCTCTGCCCTCCCAATTTGACAACTTTAAGGATGTAATTCAATACTCTAATGAGGATTTAACACCAAATAAGATAATAGATTCAATTATTGAAAAGAATGAGAGCCTTAAGGTGTTTAAGTCTAAGTCTGACATAACCTTTAGTGAAAGAACTGAGACTAAGACTGAGGCTCTAATTGTGAAGGGTAAACCTAAGAATAAGAAGAAGGGTTCTAAGAAGAAGAAACAAGCTGGGAAAGATAATTCTGAAAAGAAGGGCTTTAAATGTCATTACTGTGGGATAGAGGGGCATTTTGCTAGGGATTGTAGGAAGAAAAAGAGGGATAGACAAGGTGATAACCCCAATCCTAATCCTACCTCTAACACAGAATCTGCTAATGTCTTTCAACATGAGTTACTTGTTTGTTCTAATTCTTCTTTGAAATCTGAATGGATTCTTGATTCTGGTTGTACGTTGCATGCCACTCCTAACAAGGACTGTTTCTCCTCATTGACTTTGTTTGATGGGGGAAAGGTTATGTTAGGAGATAATACTGCTTTAGATATTAAAGGCATTGGTAATGTTCCTTTGAGAATGTTTGATGGTGTTGTTAGAGTTGTACAGAATGTTAGGTGGGTTCCATATTTGAGAAGGAATTTACTTTCTGAGTCCATATTTGATGAGATGGGTTGTAGTATCATTACACAGGTTCGTGTTAAGATGGTTTCCAGAAATGGGAACAATTTTATTAAAGCTAATGAAAATGGAGGTTTGTAAATTGTTGAAGGTACTTCTGAACTTAATCTTGCTGCCACTGTCCCTAATGATGTTATTAAAAAACAAACTGAAATATGGCATAAGAGACTGGGTCATATTAGTAATGTGGGTCTGAATAAACTGTTTAAAAATGGATTGATTGATTTTAAACCTAGCTCTATTGTTTTTTGTGAAAACTGTATTTTTGGAAAGAAAACCAGACATTCCTTTGGTAATTCTACCTATACAACTTCTAAACCCCTAGAATTAGTTCATGCTGATT